AATAAACACCCATCCACAGAGCCACTGACACAGCGACCGCTCAGCGAACACCAAACAGGCACAGAGCAAACCCGTCGTTTCCAGACGATCTGGGTTGCAACACCTCCCAGCAGCGGGTCTGTCCCTGCCGCGCTCCAGCTGCACGGGACGCTCCCATGCGAAGAGGAGGGAGCGAAGGCTCTGCTGGCACACCAACAACTTAGCTTCAATGTTCCGAGACTTGGAACGTCTTCCTCTTCACCATACTCCGTAAAAATCTTGTCCATGAAGATGTTAAGTGCTTTGTTCATCTACCAAGTAAAAGGAAGGTAAAAGACAACCGCAGGGGAACAGCTCACCCAAGGTCACACAGTACATCAGTGGCAGATCAGGAAAAAGACCCTGCTCTCTTCTATACCCCCAAGCACCTGCTCTACACTGTCAGCAAGCTCCCACCAATACAGTCTTCACTTAGAAAGAGTATATGCAAAAAAGGGCGTGGGTATTGTGGGGAAGGGGAGGAGGGAATAGTTCTCAGAAGCTCACATCCTCTGCTTTATTTGACTTAGAGGAGATTTAAGAACTAATTACTAAATGAAACAATCACTGCTGGTAACAGCCCCTCCTTCCTCTCACTTCCTGGAATTGTGTCTGGATCCTCTGACTTTGCTACCACCCTACGCTGCACAAATAGGTATTTGTGCATTTACCCAAACCAGTCTCGCTCACCCTCTCACACCTCACCTGCTGCTGTGACAGGTTTAGGCTCCGATTTCCTTCCCAGGATCCTGACCTCTTGTTCTCCTCCCAAGCCCAAAGACCGAGGACTGTTTAGACTTACCCTCACTCTCATTCCTCCGCCAAGGTGTTTGCTGCCTCAGAGTATTTGCTGACTCCAGATTAAGAATACCAAGTGAACCCCACAAACCTCTAACGACTCTGATTCACAAGCATTTAGGCAATTGGTTATTAAACACTGGGGTTGATAGTGTTGCAGGCACTTGCATTTTGATTGCATCATGCACGCCCGTGAAAGACTTCATCTCCAGAATTAGCACGATGATTTTTTTTCTTTCTGCCCAGAAAGACGTGGTTAACAAAGACATTCTCGTCTGCTTGATTCACCGGTCGCAGGCTGATCCTCTAAGGCCACGTCCCTGGGAAATGCAGGGTTGAGATGGCAGCGTAGCCCCTACACATTCATTCCAGGTTAACGTGCACCACGGCACAAAGCGCATATCTTAACATACTTTAGCACCAGATTAATCTCGTCTTGTCACTGTGATCATAATCAAGTCTTTTCTTAATTCTTCCTCATTGTCCTTTACTGATGGGACAAGTGGGAGAGAAGCTTCAGTCATTACTTTTTATAACTTGTTTAGAGATCCTTAGAGAGAAGGCGAAGTTAATTAAGCCATTTGTTCTAGACATGTCTGCAGTGACTCCCGTCACCACAAAGGCAGGTAAGAGAATACTCAGATGTTAGTTTTGATTCACAGAACCATGTAGGCTGGAAGAGAAATCCAGAGGTCATCCAGTGCAATCTCCAGCTCACAGCACGTTTAGTTACTCAGGGCCACGTCCAGGCAAGTTTTGAGTATTTCCAACGACGGAGGTTCCACAATCTCTTTGGGCATCCTGATTCTACTTATGAAGCAGCAGTTTTCCAAAAAGCTGCTTAAATTAGTAAAACCATAAGTAACCATAAATCCACATCTGCAATGAGTAAATATAAAGGGAAAGTATTCATAAGATCCTACCAACTGCTTTGGCACCTTCTAGGCTTACTCAAAAGCACGGACGCTACCAACTTCTAACAGTAGGATTACACTCCATCGATGGTAGTTAGCTGCCTCAGAGAAACTCTCCAGCTTCAACAGCCACAAAAAACATTTTTAAAGCTCTTCAAGAAGCCCTTTCTGAAGAAGACCCAGACTTGTCAAACTACCCCCTGCATCTTGCCTGGCAATATCAGACCAAACTTCCACGCTGAATCTAAACATCTCTGAAGACCAGAGTGTTTTCGACAATACAAAAGCAAATGACAGAGGAAAACTCAAGCAAAATAAAGACATGCAGCTCCTCTAAGGACGGTTTAAATTGCCGAATGCACACAGCAAGCCCGGCAGCAAACAGCCGGCATGCACTAAAACAAAACCAAAACACCTCCTCTCACCCTTCTGATCACAAATTGCAATGACTCAACTGAAATCCAAGGCTGCAGCTTCTAAAAATAGTCTTTCCAAAGCCGATTAACATTTCAGTTTGAATCTTTAATGCAGAATTAAAACTTTAGGCTTTTTATAGCTGAGGTCGCAATGCAGAGAACCTTTAGCCACCCTTCCAACTCAGAGAAATGAATGAAAATAAAGCCACCCACTGAAGGTGAGGCTTGGCTATGTTTACTCTGGAAATAAGAACGAAAGGAGGAGAAGGGAAATCTTTTTGCTGAGCAGATAAACACCGTAAGGCAGTGCAGCACAGAAGGGCTCTGCTCACCACAAAAGATCCGCAAGCTTCTGTGATGCACGAAAGCCTCAGATCTCGCCTGCACCCCACCGAGCGAGCGAGCAGGCATCGGCGCGGCGGCGTGCGGAGGCAGACCTCCCCTGCTTCTCCACTGAAGGCTCCTGCCAATCACTCCTCAAAATGCCACCGAGCCAGAGCAGAACCAGCATTCTCCTTTTCAGGCTGCTATTCCTAAACAACGACGACAAGGCTTTGCATTTCCATACACGCATTTTTGTACGGCGACTCCCACATAAAGCTGTCAAAACCGAGTATGAACACGCTACCCGCAGGTATGATAGAAAGGGCACACCCAGCCGGGGAACAAAACCCTCTTCAGACCACTCTGCACACAAAGAGATCCAGCCCTCGACGCTCACAGGAGCTCTCCCAACGAAACAGCTGAGCAGCAGCTTTGTGGGATCGGCAGAGGTTCAGCCACTCAAGTTCAAGGTGCCGTCTGCATAAAGCCAGTTCCTGAAGGCAGCTCTTGCGACAGCGCTGCCCGTCCTGAGGCCCTCCTGTCCTTCCCCCATGCCCACCAGCTCCTTCTTACAGGTTCTCCACAAATGCTGGCTAGAAGCTGTGTGCCACAGGTGTTGGGGAAGTCACCTCTTCCCACACAGGTGACACGTATTAGGAAACACTCTCTTTTTCTGCAGTTACTTACTCAGCTGCTACTCCTGCCATTAACACTTTTAAAAATCTGAGTGCCTGGTCTCAGTGCTTCTGCCTGCAATTAACAGTTACTGCACTTGTATATTTGTACGTCAGTTATCCTCTGCCACATCGGATCTTCACCACCACACCAAACACTTCTCCCCACATAACTGCCTCTGCGCTGTTTGCTCCACTCCTTTATTCCCAGCGGCACATCCAGCAGTTTGGCACGACAGCCTCCTAGAACATCTGTCAGAACTGCTGGATACTGGAAGAATTTTGGCACGTGAGTCCCACAGCAGATCCTGCCCTAAGCTTAAGCACATGAACGAAGAACTACTGTATTCCCTAAGAGACAATCGGCCTGAATCTGCCCTTCATTTCCTGCATAAAGCTTCGCTTTTTATAGCAATGAGTTGGGCTTAAAGACAACTAAACTCGTTTAGGCTCCATTCTGGTATTAACCCAGTGTACGACCTCGAGGAGGTCACCCGGCCTACTACACGCTCTCTTACTACAAGAAAATTATGGGACATTCATGTTTAGAACGTCCTTGATAACTATTTAAGACAGGAGAAAGCTCCACTCCCTGGCTAGGGAAGTCCAGAGTTCTGCTTAGTCACGAATCCAAAAAGAACAACAGGAGGGAGGAAAGCTGCGATTATTCGCATTACAGCTGCCTCGACTGCAGACGGGGGAATTTTCATCTACAGCGATCCAATTCAGCCATCTGCATCACATTCGAAGCGCTTTCAAAGGCCTCTCAGCCGTTACCGAGCGCAACAGGCCGACACAGTGACTCATGCTGAAAGGTTCCGCGTGTTTTTACACCAACTGGTACCTGGGCTCCCAGCCCAGTTCCATTCCAGTCAAGGGCAGCACAGCCCGACTTGGGCTGGGCTACAGCCCCTCGCCAGAACTTCTCCCCATTATCTGGAGAGGATCTCTAAACACAGCGCACTTTGTAGCATCGACAAGGAATAGCCTCCAATTCCGTATTTTTAAATATTTATGACTGAGGGTAAAGAGCAATGGCATACAGGGAATGTGATCCACCTCTCTACTCTTTAATCAACAATATTTCAGCGGTTGTGCAGATGGTTCAAGGTGTGAAAATGCCACTAAAATACAAGCAGTTGTGGCACTCTGAGTTGGTATCTACAGAAATTAGTCTATTTTGATTTTAGCACTGACAGCCCGAATTGTGCATGGCGTTACCCTCCACTCCACGGTCAGCTAACCTCGCAGGAAAAAGGTGACTTTTCATAATGTGCATAGAGAAGCCAAGCAAATGGTCAACTTTTGGAGTCCTGAGAAATTTGTTTTCCTCAATACCATCTACAAAAAGTGTTTGGAATAGAACTGGCCACACTGTCCATAAGAAGCAAAGCATTTTAGCCACACTGACAGTTTTCTGTCTTTTCTCTTATCTCCCTTTTTCCTCTATCCTCTATGTTATTTAGTAAATTATTTATATGACTATATTGCAATCTCACAGGTGTCAACGAATCTATTCTTGCAACTATCCCAAGGGACAGGCACATTCCATCATCTCTGCCGTAAAGGCAAGGAAGTCACAATACAAAGGGACAGGTCAGCATAATTATGACCTGAAACCGGATTTCCAAGTCCCAGTCCAATGTCTCAGTTACGAAAAAATAAATATTAACCAGTCCCCTAAAATTAAATAGTTCTTGAAAACAACCTAGCAAAACCACTGTAAAATAGAAGCTACTGCCAGCAGCCAAGTTGGTTGTGGAATGCCCATCTCAAACAGCTGGCTCTGATTTTGGTTTCCCCAGGGTGCAATTATCTTCCAAACTCCAGAGCAGGACACTCTCAGAATAGCACTTGGCGATGACATTCACACAGAGTCCAGGCAGAGCTGCAGCCTGTCGAAAACATAAGCCCCTGCAGGCTCGAGTCAGGTCACGACCTGGCACCCCGAGAGCTACGGACCAGTTCGTGGAGACCTTGCGGCTGCTCACACGCAGCCCGAGCGCCGCGCTCCGAGCAGGCTCTGAAGCCGAGAATCGAAAGGCAAAGGTTCCCGACGCTTTCAGCTGAGCAGCAACAGCTCTCAGCCCCACTGATCGACAGCACGGGAGGCTCCACAACTTCCAAGTTTATGGGCGGCTCCACCAATGAAATCTCTATTTTCTGTTCAAAGGGAGCCCTGCTCGGCACAAACCGAATCTAACAGGGCATCCTTTTGGCAGTGGAATCACTCTCCGCGAGACATCAGAAGGCGAACGAGCTGCCTGAAAACGCGTCCTTCCTCCTCGCTTTTCAGTCAGGATGACTTGCAGTCCTTCTCCAGGAGAGCATGAAAGAAACAAGTTCAACACACAGCCTCCCAAAGTAGAGCACTTTTCCTCACCAGCTAGAAGCACGTTTGTGTCTGCCATTCTGGATGCGGTAGCAACTCCAGATCTCCTTATTATAACTATTCATTTCATTTTTAATAAAGGTGTCACACAACCATGACAGACACGGTGTCAGCTGCCAAAAAACACAAACCAAGAAATGCTAAACAAACATGAGAGCAGTCAAGATAAAAATCAATTCTTATTCCCCTGTGAAATGTTCCTTTTGTGCTCTCTTAAAAGTACCTTATTATAATAATAAAGCTAGGGCAAAAAATAGCCACAAGTGCTAATCGATACCTCACAGAAATGTTATTTA